TGGCATTTAACTGCCCCCTTACTGTCTCCTATGTCTTACTCTTTTGGCCCCCTTACCTGTTACCGCCATGGCCTGAAGTGATCTATTCTGCGTCCTTCCCCTCTAGCTAACTTCTGTTCAGAGAGTCAGTGCAGGGGGAATGGTATATATCTATGACAAACACCAGGGGGTTGTGTGTCCTGCTTCATGCCCTCTCTACAGGCAAAAGATCTTTACATTCACCTGTTCAGATGACCTGTCTCATAATAACGGATCAGTTTTCAACACATTTTGTCACCCCTTGAATTTTCCCCAAATTTGTATTACAAAAATATTCAAACAAAAAGATAAAAGGTGGGTTTATCAATCATCCTTATATCACCTAGAATCAATAACTGAGTGATTTAACATTTGTATGGATATGTCTATATGTACATGTTTTTTAAAGTAAATTACAAACATTGTGATGCTTTACCCCTAAATATTTCAGTATCTAACTCCTCTAAGAATCAGAATACTCCACATAATTTCAATACTATCAAACCAAAAAAATTCACTAAATGATCTAATATCTAGTCTACATTCAAGTTTCCTGAATTGTTTCTAAAATACCTTTTAAGCTTTATCTTTAGAGCCAGGATCCAATCAACACATTGGGTTTTGTTGATATATTACCTTAGTCTCTTTTCTTAAACAGTCTCCCACCTTTTATATACCTTTTTTAATGACATGACTTTTTGAAGAAACCAAACCAATTGTGTACATGTACCCACGTTATGGATTCTGATTGTCTTTTCCCCTTGTGAGGGTATTTAACTGGCTTCTTTTTCTCTGTGTAAAGCTGGAAATACCAGAGGGAGAAGGGCGAGGACAGTGCCGGGCGGAGGAGAGACAGCACCAAGCAGCTCTGTGCCACATGGGGAAGGAGCCAGTCCCATGACGTGCGGACAAATCCCGGATGCAGACCCCCTCCCTATGGGAGGAGGAGATCTCTGGCTGTCCATCACCCGACCCTGAGCCAATAAAAATTGCCCACATACCCCTGGAGCGGCCCACTTCCCCCTCCCTTCCCTGTTCTCTTAAAAACCCCGCCTCCCCTGCTGGGCACAACTTCTCTAGTCTGTATTTATGCAGAATGGTGAACCTCGCCCGGGACTACGCTCAAATAAACTGCCTGGCCCTTTGTTGCCTCTCATAGCCTGCTTATTTCGGTTAGAATTTATCTTACACTGTAAAGTGCAGGATGAGACATGGTTAGATTCCAGGTACACCTTTCTCAAAGGTTATATCCTATATTATGTACACGAGGTTGGGTACTTTTACTGCGTCTAAATTAGATTACAACATATGGGGGGCTTACTCCACTGTAAAGATGTATTTTTCCCTTTGCAAATAAATAGTAATGTATAGGGATACTTGGCACCTTTTGAACATACTATTCCCCAACCTTTTCCTAAAAATTTTAGCATTCATTGATATGTAGGACCTAAACATTCAGTGAAGACAGCAGGTTAGCCTGAGCACAGCCATCTTAAGAAACCTAGAGGCCATTTTCTGAATATGTTCAGAAAGCCCTTGAAAAACAAGGTGAAAAACAAGTTAATCATGAACACCAGGTGGTGGGTAGCTGCGGCCTTCAGACAGCTAACCTTGGTCAGTTAGTCATCCATACCAAGCTTATCTCGCTGAAACACTGTATGGCTGAGGGTGTTCTT